CTCCATGGGGAGGGGCATGCTCATCTTCAGGTTTCACGGATGCCGTCGGATGCAAACCCTGTGGACCTACGGCGGATGCATTGAGCAAAGACTCTACACTCGGGATCGGTACACCTCCATGGGGAGGGGCATGCTCATCCTCAGGTTTCATGGATGCCGCGTGAAGCAAACTCTGTGGACCTACGGCGGATGTATTGAGCAAAGACTCTGCACTCGGGATCGGTACACCTCCATGGGGAGGGGCGGATGCCATCGGATGCAAACCCTGTGGACCTACGGCAGATGCATTGAGCAAAGACTCTGCACTCGGGATCGGTACACCTCCATGGGGAGGGGCATGCTCATCTTCAGCTGTCACGGATGCCGTCGGATGCAAAGACTCTGCACTCGGGATCGGTACACCTCCACGGGGAGGGGCATGCTCATCTTCAGCTGTCACGGATGCCGTCGGATGCAAACCCTGTGGACCTACGGCGAATGCATTGAGCAAAGACTCTGCACTCGGGATCGGTACACCTCCACGGGGAGGGGCATGCTCATCTTCAGCTGTCACGGATGCCGTCGGATGCAAACCCTGTGGACCTACGGCGGATGCATTGAGCAAGGACTCTGCACTCGGGATCGGTACACCTCCATGGGGAGGGGCATGCTCATCTTCAGCTGTCACGGATGCCGTCGGATGCAAACCCTGTGGACCTACGGCGGATGCATTGAGCAAGGACTCTGCACTCGGGATCGGTACACCTCCATGGGGAGGGGCATGTTCATCATCTGGTTTCACGGAAGCCGTCGGATGCAAACCCTGTGGACCTACGGCGGATGCATTGAGCAAAGACTCTGCACTCGGGATCGGTACACCTCCACGGGGAGGGGCATGCTTAACTTCAGCTGTCACGGATGCCGTCGGATGCAAACCCTGTGGACCTACGGCGAATGCATTGAGCAAAGACTCTGCACTCGGGATCGGTACACCTCCACGGGGAGGGGCATGCTCATCTGCAGCTGTCACGGATGCCGTCGGATGCAAACCCTGTGGACCTACGGCGGATGCATTGAGCAAAGACTCTGCACTCGGGATCGGTACACCTCCATGGGGAGGGGCATGCTCATCTTCAGCTGTCACGGATGCCGTCGGATGCAAACCCTGTGGACCTACGGCGGATGCATTGAGCAAAGACTCTGCACTCGGGATCGGTACACCTCCACGGGGAGGGGCATGCTCATCTTCAGCTGTCACGGATGCCGTCGGATGCAAACCCTGTGGACCTACGGCGAATGCATTGAGCAAAGACTCTGCACTCGGGATCGGTACACCTCCATGGGGAGGGGCATGCTCATCTTCAGCTGTCACGGATGCCGTCGGATGCAAACCCTGTGGACCTACGGCAGATGCATTGAGCAAGGACTCTGCAATCGGGATCGGTACACCTCCATGGGGAGGGGCATGCTCATCTTCAGCTGTCACGGATGCCGTCGGATGCAAACCCTGTGGACCTACGGCGGATGCATTGGGCAAGGACTCCGCACTCGGGATCGGTACACCTCCATGGGGAGGGGCATGCTCATCTTCAGCTGTCACGGATGCCGTCGGATGCAAACCCTGTGGACCTACGGCGGATGCATTGAGCAAGGACTCTGCACTCGGGATCGGTACACCTCCATGGGGAGGGGCATGTTCATCATCTGGTTTCACGGATGCCGTCGGATGCAAACCCTGCAGTGGACCTAAGGTGCATGTTCCGGACACAGACTCGGAAACAGGACAAACACTCAAACCCCTAAAACCACCCAAACAAAAAGGATCACAACCTGGGGATGGAGGTGAACCGACCTGTACTACCGAGCTATGTACATCATCTGACTGGAGCCACCTGGTGGACTCTCCACACACTTGTTTCACTTTGGAAACTTTGATTCGATAGTGAAGCGCGATGTTCATCAGCTCACGCAGGTTAAAAATCTTTGCTCCCCAAGGAGATCGATCTTGCAGACAAGCGTGTGTTTTGAACAAAGCCAGAATCACATGAGGGATGGAGATGGAGTTGCCCGCAGCCGTCCAGGCAGCCTCGATCTCCCTTGGCAAATGGAGTGAGCATGGCCACCCAAGTGCGGCCATCCACTCAAATGGACTAACGTACCTGACACCATCATGATCTCGGATCAAAGTGGTGAGAAGTCCCTTGTTCAACAGCAAATCATCGGCAGACAAATGCTGACGACCACACATAGTCATCAAGTCTGACAAGATATCATGAGGTCCTAGCGCGCGACACTCCAAAGCCGTCTTACCATCCTCAAACAACCAGCATGGCAAGTACTTGGCATTGGACAATTTCAACATTGCTGCATGATCAGGCACAAGCTCTTGCCTTTCCTCGTCATTCATGTCGAGGAAGATACAATCCCGATTTCCAATGCTGGAGTCCTTCGGATGCACCTTCGGAAAGTTCACTTTGGAAATCCACTCCTAGGTACATGGGAATTTGGATCTCCGCTGTGAGAAAGGTAGCAAGCCACCTATCTCTTCGCACTGGAATAACTGGGAAGCAATCATCAATGGAAGTGAACCGGATTGGCATTCCACATCTTTTGGCTGAATGCACCATGGCCTTGTAGTGGGAATGGCTAGCAATCCCTGCCACATTTTCAGCAACCAAACATCTGATACCTGTTTCTGGGATGAAAACCATCAGCTTCCCATCTACTGAAGATAGCCCTGAACCACGCCCGGCCCTACTCCAAGGCTCACTTGGAGCAGAGACAATGCCAAAGTCAGGACCAATCAATCCAATTACCGTCCACAGCCTCTTGTCGAAGATGTCGGCAATGATAACACACGATGGGAACGTTTTCCCTTCTGCAGCCATGTCGTATGCTTCACTAAGGCTGAACAAAGGAAGGTTCAACCACTTGCTACAAGCCGTGGCTACATTCACATCCTTGTCAATGAGCAACCTCGTGTTCATCTTCATATACCCCAGTCCACATGACCAACCACCAAGGCCAGCACAAAGTTCAATGAACCGACCGTTCAGTTGGATTTCTTTTTCACGGGGCAAAGCAACCACCCACCTTGTGTGGCTACTGAAATCGACCTTGACAGTTGCAATCCCATTCGCAGAGTCATGATCGAAATCCCAAATGGAGATCTTGGTTCCAATGGGCAAGGTCGGAGCACAACCATTGACCCACTGAAGAATCACTTTTTGTCCAGCAAAATCAGCTAAATGATGATGCTCTTCCATAGAATCACAAATCACCAACTCGCAGAACTTACCACTTGCAAGTGAAGACACCGGCAAGGCATCAAGAAACTCCATTAGTGGGATGATGCGCCCGTTGGTTGAAACGCTCAAGGCTACTGGAAAGCTCGGGCCATTACTTGAGCTACCCAAAAAATGGATGGTTTACAAGGGAAAATCTGTTTTTTTTATGGATGATTTAGAGGTACCTCCATTTCAGGAAACATCCACATGATAATTAATTGTTGTCCTACCATTTCCTGGGCTACTAATTATATGCATGTGGCATGTATACCATGTTTTTTGAGAAATCCGTGTGAGAACCCAGGATAATGATCAGGTTTTGATCCATAGCAATAGATATGTAACCATCCTGCCATAGATGTTTCATTTCCAAACACCTCAGCGTTGTGACCACAAAAAATAAGGTGTCTAACCATCAAATTTATGCGGGGTCAATACGCTTTAAAGATCTTGCAATTGGGATCATAAATATAGTCAGTACAATGTGTGTATGTATATATATATATATATGGGTAAATTATAATGATTCACCAACCTGAATTAAGGCCATTTGGGGATGATTTCCCTTACTAACCATGATTCCAGGGTTCGGGAGAACAGTGAGGTCGTTATAATTTACCCATTAAAACTGTATATATATATATATATATCCATTTCATTATAATATTTATATATATATAAACATTATTAATAGATCCATTTCATTTATATATGTATATACAATCAAAATGAATAGATCCACTTCATTCCCCATGTTTTTTTTGGCACATGTCATACTGAAAGTGATGTAGCTGGCAGTAGGATCATAGGTTTTTAGTGGCGACAAGCCAACAGAAACATCCCACCAACCAACTGTGGTGATGGTGATGTAAAAATTTAAACAGACAGAAACATCTGGGTAAATTGTTTTAACATGGTTTTTAAACACAGAATTTTAAGTAGTTAAACAATAAAAATGATTAAGTGAAGTTGACCAAATAAACAAAAGGGAAGGTTGGGCCAGTAACCAACCAATCATGCGGTGATATAATGGCATTAAAAAAACAGCGACAGTAGCGGCCAATTTGAAAATAACTGGGCTTGACACCCTGAGACAACGAAAGGCATGCAACCAGCCAGCCCGGCTACTACCCGGCTACTACAATGAATCTTTCAAGAATCATTCAGGTTGGAAAACCATGTTGGAAAACCATGAACAATCCCTGTAAATTTGGTCACACCTGGGTTGATCCAACCGCCAAATAAGGGGAATCTCCCCCATTTTTAGACAAACCTCACATATCCCAATGTTGTTACATGATGTTATATGTATATAAATTATAAGATATATCAAAATACAGTAAAATATGATAACTTCGTTGTTTCTGGTTCTATCCCATTGTATAATTGTATCCAAATGATGGTTTCCATAAATGGTGGTACCCCATTTCGTGCTCCAGTTCAAAAACGGATTTTCCATAAACTAAACCAACCAGCGATAAAGGGGATCTCCCATGGATTGGAAGCCCCCATATATTCTCATATTCTAACAGAAAACATTGCCAATCTTAGATACCCTGCAAAAAATAAACTCTTTGCTGGCTAGTAGATATTCTCATTGATACCAAAAGACTAAAGGATTAAAGTATCCATGTAAGATTGACCTAGATATTCTCATCTTCTAACAGAAAACAGCCAACAACCTCTTGGCCACGTTGAAAGCACGTTGAAACAGCTCACTGCCCCGCGGCTCACCTCTTAGAAAAGCCATGAAGGATAGAAACCACAACAGGTTGTAGGCAATGGCACCTGTGGGCTCAAAAAACTGGGAAAAACTGGGGCCCTGGGCCCAGTTGTAACTGATAACTGGGATTAATGATTAATGGTTAATGATGGTTAATGATGATTAATGATGGTTAATGATGGTTACATATGGTCAATATCATATACATATATGGTTATAAATGATTATTGATAATAACATGTTGTAACTGGTGATATATGCTTATTTTGAGCTGTATGTGATGCATTCAGACCCCTGTCGGGCTGCCAGTCTTTTATCTCACCTTCAGTTGTAGTTGCGTCCGCAACCTCAAACTCCTGTGGGCTAAAGAGCACCAAGACGGCTAGTGCTATCTGCACCGCTTCTATTCTGAAATGCAATGCAAACAGCTATTTCTCTCCCCAAGGGTTTAACCCTGGGAGAAAATATGGGTGGATCAAAAGGGTGAAAGGGGTGAACCAAAATGGGACACGGCGGAACAAGTGATGGTCAATCTGCTCAACATGCACAAAAAGAATCGTACCTTCATTCAGCAATTCATTCATCGACTTGACCATTTTGAGCTGTATGTGATGCATTCAGACCCCTGTCGGGCTGCCAGTCTTTTATCTCACCTTCAGTTGTAGTTGCGTCCGCAACCTCAAACTCCTGTGGGCTAAAGAGCACCAAGACGGCTAGTGCTATCTGCACCGCTTCTATTCTGAAATGCAATGCAAACAGCTATTTCTCTCCCACCACTCCCTGCAGAGCGCTAGCATGATTCGCAAGCAGAAAGTAACGGGAAAACCGCCTTTGAAAGAGTCTGAATATTGAACCAAGCTGAAGGCTGAATCGCAGACTGAAAACGCACCATAAATAGCTCACCGCGTCTCAAATATTCTCTGCATGAGGACTCAGAAGCCCAACGGCCGTGAACTGCTATGTCAGCAAGAGGCATGCCTTGGTGCAGCAATGTGCTTGCACCACCTCGTCGAAAGGAGTGGGAAGTGAGAGCAAGGTCACCTACCCTCAAGACTCTGCATAAACGAGGAAGCCAATATCGTACTTTGGAGTAGGAAATAGGGCAGACTCGAGTTGCATCATCCGTGAAGAACTGCGTTTTGAACTGTGAAAGCCAAGCGACAGTCTGAGGGTGTGCCAGAACCACTTTTTCATCATGCCCTCTTTTTGTACGTCCGAGCAGCAGAATTATAACCCCATCGCTAAATACCACATCTTTCCAGGTAAGACGCAATGCTTCAGAGATACGCAAGAGCCCAGTAAAACAAAGGAGAATTGCACAAGCGACCCCTCCTAAATGCAAAGCTAGCGCAGCACCTACCATGGCAAAGGCAATCTCACTAGGACATGCTGGGGCTTGACGGACTGGTTCTTCTGCTTTCCAGACTTCCAAAACTCGCCGTGCTATAGCATACCGGTGTCTAGGGAAGATTTTGTGCAGAGCGGCACACAACACTTGGCATCCTTGTCGTTTTGCTCCAGCTTCTTTGAGATCTATGAAATCATCTGCTAAGAAGATATCTTTGTCATCTTCACTTAAAGCTGCCCAAGACACAGATCTTGCATCAAGTTCATCCTTGAAATGACCAAGAGCATTTTGGTAAAGCCGAAGAGACTTGTTTTGTAGGATGCTCAAAAGGAAATGCTGCAGCCGCAAAGGTAGCCCGCCATTGTTCATGACGCCTGGGTTCAAAAAATCCACGCGGGCATCTTCCAGCCAAAGTGGCTAACTCCAAACAAAAGTGACTATGGTAAGCAGCCAAGGGTGTAGTCATGAATCCCCCGGCTTTGTTTTTTCCAATGTGAGGTGTGTGGCATGTATGATTGCAAAAGTGACCTCCCAGACGCCCAACCAAGTCAGATTGGCTGATCAACATTTGGGTGGGCTTACGAGCGTTGGCCCCGAAGCGGCACTGATCGAAGCGAATGGTTTTCATCCCCTGTGCCTGCAACAGCGTAGATGCCTTTGTGGCAAAAAAGGAAGGAAAAGGTTCAGATCCTGGATCCTTGGGGTGCTCAAGGCCTCTCCAGCAATAATGGGCTAGCCCCAATAAGTAAACACAAGCCAACATAATACAGCTGCCTAAGTTGCACAAAGCCTGTTCAGCTCGTGACCTACCATCCAAACACACCCAGGGATCTGCTCGCGATCGCAATGGCCGAGGCCCAAAAGTGCTGGTGCCAGTCAGAGGCACATGCCGAGCTCGTGACCATGTACTGCAAGGAGGACTAGCTAGAACACCCAAACACCTACCACTACAAATGAGACCCTCAATCTTGCAAACAAACATGCCATCAACCAGATCCAAACTACGGCTAATCAATGGATCCACCCGTAGTGCAAGCACAGCTCGGCTGTCCAAATTGGCTTGGCGTATGATCCAATCACAAACATCACCAACCCGCCGAGGTCCAGAACAAAGATGTATGAAGATCTCAGGTAGCTGGGTTTGATAACATGTGTTGGATGTCTGTGCAAGACCAGAGATGACTAATGCGCGCAACCACTCATCCTCATCCGCTCTCCAATCTTTGCCCCCTTTTGGAAAACCAGGATCACAAGGGGTATGAAACGGATTGGTCTCAGCAGCAAGGAGTTTTGTATCCCCACACTTTACCACTTGATGAGGTTTTGGTTGCACTGTACGGTGCTGGTCAGCTCTCACACCGTGGCGGGAACTGGGTTCATCTGCTGGGTTGACGTCGGTCGGGACCCAAACAAAATAAGGATCAATGCCAGAAGCACAAATGATAGCACACGCCTGCCTACAACACCCATTAAGTTTTCGTGAAGCAGATCGCCCCTTCTTATAGGCCCCAGCTGCAGCCGCTGAATCCACCAGGTGAAGCACTCGCTGGCCCAGCTCAGATGGTCGTTTGAGCCTGTCGTGCAGGGACCAATTCAAAGCAATTGCTTCCTCAATTGTGATGTGTTTGTAGCCACCCTGACGCGCAGCTGTAGACCACTTGTACTGATGCAATGGCAAAGAAACTTGTTGCATGGGACATTCCCCCTTGTCGTTCAAAATAATCCCAAATTCAGATTCCAAGTTGGTATATACCCCCTTGTGTGAGCACAACCTGGCCGCCTCTGCGACCATTGGCTCACTCATCTGAGTCCACGCGCGTCCATGGCCTCCCGGAGCCGCATCACTAGCTTCGACTCTGCGACACCAAGAAGACCGCAAATCAGATTGCATGAAAGGAATGAAAAGCAACGACATGACAATTTCTGCCCTAACTGATGGCCATAGTTCAGCTCTCTTGCAAATGCCTCGGTGTCTCCCTAACCAAACATAAATGTCCTGAAGAATGGATCTTGCACAAGGTCTAAATGACAAAGCAAAGGACAGCTTCCCCAGCCAACGGTCCACCTCTCCCACCAAAGGTCTCCGCTGTGCCAAGAGATACATTCCAGCCTGGAATAGCTGGGCTCGCTTTTCACGGCTGACACCCAACCAACCTCGAGATCCCTCAACCAGGACACCCTGCACTTCCTCTTTGTAAACACCAGTGACTGCCTTTTTCTCATGTTCTACAACACCATCCTCTTTCCACGCATGTGCCATATCTTGCATCCACCTGTGAGCTACTCCAGGGGGATCATCAGTAGAATCGCACTCCTCAATAGCCCAGATATCATCAAGGATAGAACCCCAAATTGGAAAAACAGATGGGGGAGGCTGTGAATCTACTAGGCGTGAATGTGAAGGCAAAGACACGGAAACTGCTTTGGCCTCGTTGTAGGCCTGAGCCCAAGAAGCAGCAGCTGTGAAGCCCATGGGAACTCCTGCGTGTGCCGGGAACATTTCCGGATATTCTGCTGTTGCCTTCAATGGTGGATGTGCCATGTACTTTCTCCACCGTCGCCCAACACGGAGAAAATGGAAAAAATGACGGGCATCCTTTTTGTAAATACGCAAGCGCTTCCCAGGTGCTATCTGCAATGCTCTCATCATGGGCATGATCGCAAAGCGTGGTTTCCACAGCTTAGCAGGGTTGACCAATGCGTTCAATGGGCACAATGCTGAAATGGCTCTATCTTCATCAGAATTCTTAGGCACAGCAAAAGCTCCACTGTATAATGGCCTTCCCTTAATCTTGTAAATACTCTTGCGAGGAAGCAAAGTTTGGAGTCCAGCTTTGACGTTGCGCTTGACATACGCTGGATAAGTCTCATGCAATTTGCAAAATGGTTTAGGTATGTGTTTGGGTCGAAGCCTTTTGGGGTACAGCAATGAAGAAGGATGTTCCACCTGTTCAGCCAACCCTTTGTCATACCTATCCAACACGCCTTTCAAATCCACCACAGCTGCATGATCAGGAACGCCTGCACGCAGCCCAAGTGGTTGAGCCCGTCCACCCGCACCATTGTAGTGCATGGATTCCAGGAGATAATCCTTAATTTCCTCTTCCCCGCTAGTACGAACACCACTGCGAAGGAAGCTGGACACGGTTGTAAAAATGCATTGATGCACCCGTGCTTGCGCTAGTGTAGGCTCAACCCGGCTCACCCTGCTACAGCCACTGTACATATGGTTCAAAGCAGAAATGATCAGGTTGACATAGTTCAAAAATGAATTCCTGGCCTTCGCCCGCTCGCGTGACCGTCCCCTCCTAGGCAACTTGCATGGTGACATCAAAGGTAATGGAAACACTGCACTCGGACTGACCCCGGCTTCCAGAGATGTCCTATTGCCCAAGCCGCCTCGCAGGGAATGATTCAGTGAGCCACGGGTGACTGCCACATACTCAGACAAAATGTCTACACACGCTTGAAATGGAGCTTTCGGAGGAATAGTCTTCAAGATTTCCCTCCCCCTCCAACTCCATGGCCCGATCAGGCCAGACCAGTCAGCCCTGCAGGAGCCAGTCCGGCTGACTCCTCGGGAATCAGCTCCTTCTTTGCAGCCTTGTCCCATGTTCCGCCCGAAGCTTTTGCTTCGAGGAGAGCGGTGATGCGCATGGACAAAACGTCCATCGCCTTCTCCACTTCTCCTTGGTTGATGTAGTCCATCGACTGCAATATGGTGAGTGCTTCGCGCCGATCCCTCACCTCCTTCAAGCCTGCGGCCCCGGTCGTGACAAACTCCGTCATCTCGATGTCTCTCAGCTGGCTGGTACGGACAATTCCGCCTTTCATCAGTTTCTGCCTCAGGGCATTGATGAAGTTGGCGGTGAGTGCTCCCGGATGCTTCGCCGCAAAGATCAACAAGTCGGATCTCTTTTTGAACTTCTTGGTGTCCACCTTCCCCATGCTCACTGCTGACACTTTTCGGCTTTTGCCATTCATCTTCCATTTCACAAAGCTGCTGCTGCTCGAACTTCGGCTGGAACTGGAGGAGCTGTTCGAGGAAGAGCTTCGCTTTCTGCCTTTGTTCCTTCTTTTCTTGCCTTTCTTCTTCTTGGACTTTCCCTCCTCTATCTCGCTCCTCAAAGAGTTGACCACCTCCGCAAGTTTCTGCAATTCCATGGAATCCCTCACGGCTGGAGGTCCAATCCCTGCTGCTCCCACGGCCTGCCCAGCCTGAACCGCAGGTTGTTGTGCCTGGGCCGGCGCTGGCGCCTGAGCTGCTCTGATCAGTTCCACAAAGTCCCCTGAGCTTCCCGCTATGTGACGGGTTGGTGGTTGAACCTCTGCTTTCACTATGTCCATAATGATTCGACCTTCCGAGCAAAGATTCACCAAAAGACCAGGGGATGGGGACCATTTGGCTGCAAGATTGCCAGGGTCGCACATCCAGTTCACGTTCCCGGGCACAATTCCCGGAGGCGCTACCCTGTAGCCATCTCTCCCTTCCACTATTCTGAAATTCCCCAAAGTCATGCGAATCAAAACCCATATGAATCTGGTGCCACTCGGGTCCGTCGAATAGCAAAGCCATTCAGATCCTTCGTTGTGACAAACTAACAATGCCTCATCCCATTCTCCGTCTCGGGCAACGACAATGAAAGAACCAGCATCCATGCAAGCTTGATAGGTGAGTGCAGAACGGTCTTTCAAACAGGTGGATGCAACGGCTGGGCCAACGTGCTCGTGACTGCAGATTGCAAATTCAACTAATGAGTTGCACAATCCAGTCTGCAAACCTACAACAGCAATCAAAATCCTTTGGCAAACGTAGGCAAGAGAACAAATGCCTCGACTCACCACAAACCAGACGTGTACAACTTGAACTGCTACTACACCCAAGACAATAAGCAAGTAGAATATCAAGCCAGATACACTTCAGGAAATGATTGCCCGTAATTCGGCTTCAGCTGCTGCCACTTCTACTCTATGAATCAGCCACCGCACCAAAGCAATCAAAAATCTCGCAGCAAGCTCCCAGATTTCAGTCCTCCAGCTAAGGGTGCTGATGCCGATTGCCACAGGCACTAAAGAGCGCCCAGGATACATGCACACTGGCCCAGCTGCTCTGATTTAAACAGCTTAAACCAAAATGGGACACGGCGGAACAAGTGATGGTCAATCTGCTCAACATGCACAAAAAGAATCGTACCTTCATTCAGCAATTCATTCATCGACTTGACCATGTAATATCATTGCGATGTATTTATAAGAAAATAAGTCAAGAACCACATATTAATTAACCACAAATCCCAGATATTACTAGTTACCAACTTAATACGATTGTTAGTGACCAGGTCCAGGTTCTTGACTTACCTGGTTTATTGATGTTTATTGGGGATCATGTTCTCAACAATGATAGAGAGAACTACTGGAACAATGATGTGGTATCTCAAATGGCTCACGTGGATAAAGAGCTCTGGACAAATCTCAGTTAACAAACCAGATTACCCTCCATTAGGTATTATTGGTATATACCCTGCCCAAATTAATGGATATTAATGGTTAATAGTGGGTTAATAGTGGGATGATAATGGGATATATCCTCTGGTAATCTAACGTTGTTTGCTATTGAAAATGGCCATAGAAATAGTGAGTTTTCCCAGCTATAAAATGGTGATTTTCCATAGTTATGGGACAGACCAGAGGGTAGACTATGAATGAACCAGGGATAAAATAACTAAATTAACATGGGGTAACTCTGGTATCTGATTATTTGGGTAGGGAGAAATTCGGGTGGATATCCAACTAGTTTGGATAAAACCTCAACCAAAAAACTATCTCTCAACGACTTTTTTGAGCCAACTTTGGGTTGGTCCCTCCCTATGAAAAAAAAACATGTGCGACCCCCGTGTTAAACAACATCCTGCTCAGAAATCCTAATTTTGTGGTAGTCAGTATATATATATATATACTATAAATATGTTTTAATGGTTTTCATTGTTTTTTATTGTTGAAAAAGTAATGTCTTTAAGGCATGCCCATGCCCAATCTCACCATCTCACCCCATTGGGAGGGAGGTTGCCACTGACAAGAGAAATCTTGACCTATTGGCAGGCAGATTGGTTGTTTTTTTATGTATGACAAGCCCTACTTTTTTAATTGGGGGGACTCTTACCTTCTAGAGGGTGGGGTTTATTAATACAGACTTGGCATTACTGCACATATAGGCAGAGTCGGTTTATTCCCAGATCGGAAATAAACACTTTTTGGGGTCTCTCTCTCCTCACTAAATCATCAAAGGTGCGATTCCCAGTTCCCCCGCACTGGAACCACAACCTGCTGGTTTTCAGCTGGAGTGGAGTGCTCGATCGGCTTCGTTGAAAGGTGGCTTTTGTTTGCCCAGGACAACTTCACAAACCTGTAACAGCGGTGTCGGCCACCGCTCTTTCACGAACCCTAAGTTGTGAGAGCCGGGTCGGCGATCAATAGCATGCTGGTATCATACACACAGCCGTATCCACCTTCGTCAGATGGCTCTGGCAACGCCGCCTTAAACTCCACATAAAACATGTAGCGCGACTTTGGCACGGAATGACTTGGGCGTTTTCGCCGCAAACCACAATTGGCAGTTCATTTTCTTGATAGATCACCTCGCTTAGGGTTTGTTTGCCCGTTTTACATGTTTTACCCGCTGGTAATTTAACATAGCTATTGAAAATGGCCATAGAAATAGTGGATTTACCCATTGAAAATGGTGGATCTTTCCATAGTTTTTTGTAAACGTTTACCAGAGGGTACTCCCACAATCATCCCAAATTGCGTTGAAACCACCAGTTGTTGGAGCTGATGTATCAACGTGTTTGGCTGAAATTCCCCAGAGCCCTAGCTGGTCAGTAGATGCAGTAAGTTTATGCGTAACCCGGAACCCTGTTACAACCTACAATTCGTAAGTAGTACCCAGTTGAACATCTCAAAAGTCATATAGTCATCTTCTAGTAGTTGAGTTACACATCCATTCCGTAATATGGCTATGTGGCCAAAACAACAATGTATCAGATTACCTCCACGGTTTTCAAAGCATCAATAAAGTGGCTTTGTCTGAAAATATGGCATAATTATAGACACAACCAATAATATACAGTAACACTCCAGGATTTTATATATGTTTTATGTATGTTTTTATCATATCGCGTCTCTAAAAACAACTGCAATTTGGCGCCAAGCAATTTTTGTGGCTAAACTCCCCAGGTTTTTCCCTGCGCCTACCGGAGATCTTGAGCCGCCACGGCTGTAGTTCTCACACCAGGGCAGCAGGGTGTAGTTGAAGACTGGGGATGGCGAAGATTGGCCAACGGATCCAGGGATCCAGCATCCCGACATATCCCGACTATGGGATACTATGGGCGCATGGCTTATGGGATTCCAACCATCAACATGTAGGCCATGTAGGTATTGTATCCTTACTTTACTAACATAAAAAAGACGTGATACGTCCTAGTTGTGTATGGATTCTATGGATCATTGAAAAGGGTATGTATAGCTGGTTAGTGAATGTTACAAGAAGGATGGCCAATCCCGTTGTTACAACAGTTGGGAGTAAATGGGGGGTCGATAAAGTCATGGGGGATCCCCAGTCGTCACCAGGTTTCAATATACAAAACTGATCTCATGACTTGGATGATTTTAGGGGTATCCCTACGACTGAAGAAACCTCCAAATTGGGTGAATTCCATGCTTTGTTGTTTCGAATCCCGCTTTCTTAGCTGCTGATACCTTCATCTGTCCTGCTGTGTCGCCTTTGTTGATAGAAACACTGCCCAGCGACAAGCAAACCTGGCAGTGGAAAAATATCTGTGAGTTGTAGATGTTTTTAAGTACCCACCAAAAAGAAGAAACACTAATTGACTTGTCTTTTGTGCAATGTTGTTTTTTCTAGCTTTCTTCGGGTCATTATACCAGCGAAACCATTTTTCACTTGCAGGCTGGGGGTGTTTACCAACAGGTACTTCTAAGGACACTGCTGACAAATTGAATAACCATTGTTCCATTATTCATACCCTCTGCTAGTCAAACATGGCAATGGACCATTCCCCATGCATACTGTAGATGATTTCTCTTCTAAAATACCATTTATTGAATAGCAGATTTTCATGGAATTTCCAGCTTGCTACGATGACACCCCACCAGAGGGTCACTGGAGGTATCTTTCTCCAGAAGCCCATTCCATCCGATCCCACCCGAGCGCCAAGAAACCATAACTTTCAAAACCTCGGCTAGGGGCAAGGTCGTGGTGCATTGGTAACCTAAAAAATAACCAACAAATGGCCCCTGTCAAAAGCACTAGTTCTTTGTTGGTTGGGTTATATCTGCTATGTTACATCATTTTCTTGCCCATATGCTCCATGTATGGTATATTTACATACATTTGGGTCATTTATGGGGTAAATCTTGGTAAATATTCCAGCACCATGGTTCGCATATGGGTTGGTATGTCATTGTGGCAATCAAATCCAACATTAACAAAAAACGCTAGGCCACAGCATCGACGTTTACCACCGCTACAATGGTAATTCCAATGGAGCTAAAGACATCCAATGCTCGGACGCTGGTTGATTGGTTATCTCTCTCAGCTATCAATTGAAGTTATTCATGGGCTTATATTATCTTCTATTATGGTAGTATAATGTAGTACAGTATAGTTGTTAACAATTGAACCGTGTTTTTTTTGGAAGTGTAAAAAAAGGAACTTCGCGGAGAGGCTACAAAAGCCTACGCGGACTGCGCAGGCTACACGGATGGTTCCAAGAGTCCCATTGAAGCTACGCGGAAAGCGAAGGGCGAAGGCAAGGCAGGGCCCAGGGCTATGCCGCAGGTGCTATATATGGTGTGCCATGGATCCCATCAATATACCCCAGTCATGTTAGCATATATAAACCAGCACCAGCCGGATCCGTCATGGGAATTGGGTGAAATCCATGCTTTGTTGGTGGCGAAATCCCGCTTTCATAGCTGCTGATATCTTCATCAATTGGTTATCTTATGTAACTTAATGTCACTGTATATACTGGTTGTTTCTTTTTTCGATATCTCCAAGAATCACTAAGAACTGAACAGTCTCACCCCTATCTATGCTACAATAGATCGGTGGATATCTGTGATTACCAAAAGCTACAACAACCACTGACCTATTTCTAGAAGAACAATACCATCCCAATCACCGTGGCTTGGATCACTTTTTTTGGTTGAATCCTCATGGCTGTTGAAATCCGGAATGTACAAGCTATTCGCCGCCAGCAGTTATGGCATCTCGTTGGATGTTGTACATTTCCATATCCAAACGAATATAGATGTGGTATTTAGCCACCATATTCGCCACCATTGTCCAGTGATTCCAAGTCTGCATGAGGTACAGCGGTTTTCCACAAAGTGTCAACAGTGGGCTGATCCCTGCTAAGATCTCTTCGAATTGCGCCACTCGGGCTGCTGGCACGGTCCATTCTCCGGGATCAGGAGAAGCGGACATGAATTGAAGGGAAATGCTGATACCGCAAGCAAGCAAAGCGATGTCAGCCGTCTGCATCGTGTGGAGCAAGTGTCACGAGGGTTTGATGCTGGGTTCTGCAATGCAGGTGCGTTGCATGTCTGTTACACCACCATCTTTCATGGTAAAATGCGAATTATCGTTGGTTGAATCCATTCCTTCAAGTAAATCCCCAGATTTGGTGGTCAAATCCACATTGATATTCAGTACCACTTCCCATTTCTAGAGTTTTTTGGGGTTTGATCGTCTACGTTTTGGTTGAGTTCCAATGTTCACATAGATACACGAAAGGTTTTTCTGCGTAAGCCCATACTAAAATACCTATATATATATATATGGTTGTTGATCAAAATTCCTTTATTCCGGAACGGCCATTCTTCGCGGAAAAAATTACTTTCGCGAAACTTTCGCGAACTCCATGTTTATCTTTCGCGGGGCCCATGTTGGCCAACAACACCTCTTATGAAGATTCGTTCACCACCTGCCAAATTACACCAGAGAATCAGGGATCACTTCTTGGTAGCCTTTTAAACATGCAGCTAGCATCACGGAATCCATTCTCAGG